CATTCATTTTAACAGAATGTTAACTTTGAATCTTAATAATGGCCTCCTAAATGTCAGCACTGTTAATTACACTTTGCAAATCCTGTCTCTCCCCTCCAAGGATTAGAACCTCAACTAGGTGATAGCTGAGTTGAGAAGATCATTACTGTCTTATGTTGGGGACAGTTACTTGACATTGTGTTATCTTAGATATAGTTACCAAATGTATTTATATTACGAACAGTACATGCATCTAGCATATCTTGTACAGAAACAATATATATATATTGAGTAAATAAAAATAAACAGACACTTTGCTGGGGAATGACCTGGCAGATACATCCAGTGCAATTAGATATACCTTGCATGTTTCATTTATCTGAGAGTGATCTAGCATATCATATGCATTTTTCCAGCAGCAGCAATAGTATAGGAAGATAAAATGAATCTTGGAAGATGTAATTTCCATGTTTCTTTTGATGATGAGTGGAAAACCAAACAAACTAAAAAGCTATAAAAGTCACAATCAATTAAATTTTTAAAAATTGAGTATAATGTTTTGTATTTTCTCTCTGTTTTACAGGCAAACTATCTAAATTGATACAAAAGTTCTTAACTTCCCCATCTGAATAGGCCAAATAGAATTGTTATCACATCACAAATTACAAGACTGTAACTACTGGTTGGAAAACAAGGCCACCATTATACACAGTAATAACAGTAACCAGGTGGGAGAGGAAGGGCAGGATGTCGTTGTCAAGTTCTAATCTCACTGTTTTCCATGCAACCCTTCAAAACCCAAACCATCCCCTCAGAGACAGAAATGTTACTTAGGGTATGTCTACACTGCAATTAAAAACCCACGGCTAGCCCATGTCAGCTGACTTAGGCTCACAAGGTCCAGGCTGTGGGGCTGTTTAATTGCAGTATCGATGTCTGGGCTTGGGCTGGAGCCCAGGCTCTAGGACACTGCAAGGTGGGAGGGTGCCAGACCTCCAGCTGCAGCCTGAGCCCAAATGCAATTAAACAGCCCCACAGAATGAGCCCTATGAGCCTGAGTCAGCTGGCAGAGGCCAGCCACGGATATCTAATTACAGTGTAGACATACCCTGCATATTTGTCCATACATATGTCTCAGTACAACTACATGCTAGAAGCCCCTGCAATGGAACAACCAAGTCCAGAGTGTAGCCCGGTTTAGATCCAGAAAAGGCCATTGCAGAGGCATGCCTACAATCCCAAGCCAAGTAATTAGCTGAGTTTTATTTTAGTCCTATCAATGTTGTTCTATGAAAAACCAGAGGTGTGTTGTATCCTATTTGGGAACAATTGTAGCTGGCAGATGCAGCGCTCCAAACTTGTTGCCACAATTGTCCACCAGATCACTGATCTGGAAGGCTGAAGAAAAAGGGCTTCCATGAAAGCCATGTGGAATGTACATTACTTGAAAAATGACATAAAAAAACCTTTTGTGCATCCAGAGAAGCGACTGCGATAACTTAGATATCTTTGATGCCTGTTCTTTTATATCTGATGCCATTCCCTGACCATCTTCCATCATCCTGTATATGGCAAGACTATCTGCACATAAAGGGAAATCTCAGCCAAGTGGAAAGGGAGGCCATGGTCACAGAAACCTCAAACTTGTCCACATTGTACCAGCCGAGCACATAGTTACCTGTTTTATCTCTGAAACAGACAAATAACTGTATCCCATTATTGGGCCCCAAGCACTTTACTGTTGCCTGGGAAAATAATATTTTCCCTCCTACCAAAAGTTAATGGTCAGGTGCCCAAGTGGAGTCAAGCAATCAAATAAGATCTCCACTGCCCTTCAGTGCAAGTGTTCTAAACTGTCTATCTGCAAACAAGTTATCGTCAAAAATACAGTTGTTAACTGCAAGGATCTGTACAGTGCTTAATACAGTATAATAGGAATCTGGTCCCGACTGAGGCTTCTGGTTGCTATTATAAAATAAAATAATGAGAAATTATCATAAGACAACATAACTTGTGTTAAAGTAAATGACATTTAAATCACAGGCATTACCTGTTCTGGTTGATGGGTGCTTGTTGATGATGCCTTGCAGGCTTGGTTCCTCATCCTGATCCCATTTGTTTTTTAGTAATGCAATTTGCCTAGACCATGGCCACTACCAAAATGGACAGAAATTTCAAGAAAACTATAAGAAGCTGACCAATCTGTGTACCATCATTAGGCACTCTACATGTGTACAAAGTACTCACTGGAAACCAAGCCCCTCCTAAACAGCCAAAGCTGTGTTTATCTTATTATGCTTGTCTGTTCCAGATATGGGCTGGTCACAGAGCTCGCTTATCCACACCAGATATGTTCATCATAAAATCCTTTAATGGGTGATTGTAAATCCCTGTGATGTCAGCTCCTGAGTCAGTTTTGAAGTCAATAGTCTTGCCATGAATATTCAGTTTCACTCTCCAGGCAAGCTCTGTGTCTTCACAAATGATAAATCCCAGAAACAATGGCTCTTGATTTGTCTGTAATATGAGTCAACTCTCTGACTGCTTTGGTGTGTCAAACAGCCACAAAATGTCCATATTTCATGCATTGGTATCACCAGATGTCTCTGGCTGGACATGCATTATCTCTTGGGATACGCCTTTTTCATACCTTGTGCATCTAGGCTGGAATTTGTCCCTCTTAGCCTGGGAGTTCTCTCTCCTTGCCTCAGGTGTTTAACAATAATGACTTTAACACTCACATATCTGTTTATAGCTTCTAAGCTAGTTTTTCAGGTTTTTCAAGTTGCTCCTGCCTTATTTTCTGTTGTTTGACTAATTCTGTCTGCTTTGTTATTTGTATAGCTGTGGCTAGGGTTAAATCTCATTCACTTGTAGCTGCTGTGAAAGATCTTTGTCTGTTAACCCAATAACCAGCCTGTCTCTGATATTTTCATGTTTTGCATTCCCAAAATCACAGTTTTCAGCCAATGTATGTAGCGCTCTTATAAAACATTCAACATTTTCCCCTGGTTCTTGACTTCTCTGGTTACAACATACTCTTTCATAAATCACAGTTCTCTGGGGGTATAAAGTGTGCATCAAACATAGCCAGAATCCTTTCATAGTCATCTTTGTGACAGACTGCAGTAAAGTCAAAGGATATAAAGATATGCTCTGCTTGCTTCCCCATAGCATAAATTAATGAAGATATCTGTATATCTCCTGTTTCTTTCTGGCATTTGTTTGCAATGCAAAATCTTGCAAAATGTTGTTTCCAGTCTGTCTATTCTGAAGATTTGCCAAAGCTGGGATGATGAAGTGGTTCTGCAACCTTTGTTGCTGTTTTAATTCTGTTTCTGTTCTTAGTTTACTCCTGACACCATGTCATGTTCTTTTGTACCAGATATGGACTGGTCACAGCACTTTCTTAAACACATTAGATGTATTCATCATAAGCTCATTTAATGCTCTGTGAGGTATTGCAGAGGTTCCTTTAAATAAGATATTTTACACATAGTGTCACCTAGTGGCTGAATGGTATTATACATTTTTGCACGCCATTACACATCTGTTCTTAATTCATGCTGCATTAAAGAGCAGGACTTCAATACGTTGCTTCTATGAAATGTCTCCATGAATGCCCAATATTGTGTCTCCAAGCATCCCATCTGCTGGACTAGAGCAGTGTGGTGGACGTATGCAAACCTATCAGGGAGTTCCAGGTTGTGCTTCTTGCTGCGCACCCACAGCCACACTCTGAAGATGAAGACATTGGTACTTGTAGTTCATGTGGGTGTTCCCCTAACTAATGCTTATACTCGTAGTTCAAGAGGTAGGAGCTGAACTTTGATTACATAATCAATTGGGGGGGTGGGGACTTAGTGCCTTCTTTCTGGGATCCAGGCCGCATCCAATGAATAAGGACTGTTCCCCCATCATACCCATTTTAGCTTGTTGACTCATGACTACAGAAAGGGACTGGCATACTTTCTGCAAAGGGTTGCTGGCCACTTGGGTGTTACAGAAGCTGCAATGCTCCTGATGGTCTTTGTTGGGGGAGGTGCATGGTGTGACATTGGCAAACCAGGCGCCAGCTCATGCCAAGGCCCCTAGGGCTCAACTGAACCTTGACACTAACTGCACTAACTAAATACTAACTGCAACCAGTCTGGCTCACCTGTATGCTGGTATTGTTTAAATAAGTATTTGAATAATGAGAATGTATCCAGACTTATGAAATCCTTGTAAGTTGTTGCATGCATTAATCTCACTTATAATATCTGTATCCCATGTTATAAGATAATATTTAAGTGTTTGTGTAATCCACACACCTCCTATGTGTGGTATTCTGTCCCATCTAGTGGCACTGAGGCGATTTAGAGAGAGAGATTAATGAGTCTGCTCTACAGCCTTAGCTAAGGCCCATATGGCTTTTAGCTCATGCAGTAGAGGCTCATGCACTAAGCTCCAGAGGTCCCAGGTTCAATCCTGCCCATGGATGACCGGGATCTGTTTGCATAACATTTGCTCAGTAACTGTAAATCACCAGTCAGAAGAAAAGCATTAACGAGTCTGAAATACTAGTTTCCAACAGGAGGTGTTATCTTCTGTCCAACAAAGAAGGCCCATCAACACCAGATGAATGATTGTGGAACATCACAGAACAAAAGACTTTGTTTATTGCTCACTGCTCCTCTCCCACCCCAACTCTGAATCGGAAGACAAGACTTACAAGTGAATTCCTCCCAACAGTTGAATTTGTGCCTGGAAGCAGAAGGGAGGAAGGAATAAAACATACTAACAATCAGGGACTGTATCTTTTATGCTGCTTGAATTCTGAGGCGCAAGGATTACTTAGCATAAGCAAAAGATCCCAAGTGCTTGCCGTGGGTTAGCCCTAAAGGACATATAGAGCTTGCTTATTATAGAAGCTTCTATTGCTTTTTGAAACTTAAGATTGGAATTCATTTGTGTGTGTGTATATATATATATTTACCTGCTTTAACCTTGTAAGTAACTCTTTTATTTCATTTTCCTAGCTAATAAACCTTCAGATAGTTTATTATGGAATTGGCTCCAAGGGCTGTCTTTGGTGTGAGATCTAAAGTAAACTTGACCTGGGGTAAGTGACTGGTCCTTTGGGACTGGGAGTAACCTAAATATTGCTGTGATCTTTGGTATAAAGGACGAATCTATCACAAAGATTAGCTTACCAGGGTGGCAAGATATATTTGGAGGACCCAAGGGGATTATATGTGACTCTATGTTAAGGTTATTATATTGCTTGAGGAGTTTACACTTGCTAATTGGTTGGTGACATCTAAGCATAGAACTCACAACCAATTTGGGGTTTGCTCCCTGCGTTGTAAAAATCTGCCCTGAGATTTGTACCCATGTTCTTGAGCCTCTCCAGGACAGCTTGACCCCGGCATAGTCTTGGCAGGAGTTACTTACCACAGGACAATTAAGGTTATAGATCTTAACCCCAGTGCTGTTAAAGTTTAAACTTGACATTGAGAGTTTTAAAGGTTAAAGAATAGACACACTGAATGATATGATGGTCTTGAGAGAAAAGACCTTGAACAATTATGTAGGCACTACCCCATAAAAAGGAAACCCCAGTTCAGGACCTGAGAGCTTGGCTCATAAGTTCTGATCAAAGGGAGACTGATGGAGAGAGAGAGAGGACCCTCTTGCCCCAGATGCTGCAGAGAAGATCACTGCAGTGGAACTGGCCTGATTGCTGCACCTTAGAGCCCAGAAAGAACACAAGCACCAGAAATTAATGGCAGAATTGTGGATCAGGGAAACCAAAGCAAGTGAAGCAGCTGAGGAGAAAGCCCACCAAAGTTGCATGGAACAAATAGCAGCAGTCAAAGTTGACAAGGAAGCTGAGAAAAGGGCAGACAGGAGGCTGATGGTAGATCAAGCAATGTAGTCAAAAAACTGGAACAGCAAAAGGTGCTTCCCCAGCCAGTGAGTATAACCCCCACAACACAAGGGTGTAGGAGAAAATCTGCCCAATTTATAAAGAAACTGACTGTATAGAAGAGTTCCTGTCCACCTTTGAGAAATTACGTGGGATACATAATATCCCAATTGAAGTATAAAAATCTCACAGTGTTTGACAATATGATTCATGTTGAATATGTACATAAAATGTGTAATTTTATGAGAAAATGGATAATGGGGGTGGGGCTGAAAGTGATTCTGGAAAACTGTTGCAGATGATACTAAACTGCTCAGGATAGTTAAGACCAAAGCAGACTGTGAAGAACTTCAAAAAGATCTCACAAAACTAAGTGATTGGACAACAAAATGGCAAATGAAATTTAATGTGGATAAATGTAAAGTAATGTACATTGGAAAAAATAACCCCAACTATACATACAATATAATGGGAGCTAATTTAGCTACAACTAATCAGGAGAAAGATCTTGGAGTCATCGTGGATAGTTCTCTGAAGACGTCCATGCAGTGTGCAGTGGCAATCAAAAAAATAAATGGGATGTTAGTAATCATTAAAAAAGGGATAGAGAATAAGATGGAGAATATCTTATTGCCCTTATATAAATCCATGGTACGCTCACATCTTGAATACTGCGTACAGATGTGGTCCCCTCATCTCAAAAAAGATATACTGGCATTAGAAAAGGTTCAGAAAAGGGCAACTAAAACAATTAGGGGTTTGGAATGGGTCCCATATGAGGAGAGATTAAAGAGGCTAGGACTTTTCAGTTTGGAAAAGAGGAGACTAAGGGGGGATATGATAGAGGTCTATAAAATCATGAGTGGTGTGGAGAAAGTGAATAAGGAAAAGCTATTTACTTGTTCCCATAATATAAGAACTAGGGGCCACCAAATGAAATTAATGGGTAGTAGGTTTAAAACAAATAAAAGGAAGTTCTTCACTCAGCGCACAGTCAACCTGTGGAACTCCTTGCTTGAGGAAGTTTTGAAGGCTAGGACTATAAAAGGGTTTAAAAGAGAACTGGATAAATTCATGGAGGTTAAGTCCATTAATGGCTATTAGCCAGGATGGGCAAGGAATGGTGTCCCTGGCCTCTGTTTGTCAGAGGGTGGAGATGGATGGCAGTGGAGAGATCACTTGATCATTGCCGGTTAGGTTCGCTCCCTCTGGGACACCTGGCATTGGCCACTGTCGGTAGACAGGATACTGCGCTGGAAGGACCTTTGGTCTGACCCAGTATGGCCATTCTTATGTTCTTATGTTTGATCTGATGTCCCAGAAGCAATTGTTATGAGTAGTTACAGATGATGTAAAAAGGCAACCATCTGTGACAAAAAAAACTCCCACAATTTTAGAGGCTGCAGAAATTGCAGCTGAACACATTGAATCAAGGGGACCACTTGCAATTCCATGTTAAGGCAGTTATAGTGCTTGAGGAGCTTATGCTTGCTAATTGGTTGGTGAAATCTAAGTATAGAACTCCCAACCAATTTGAAGTTTGCACCCTGCTTCTTAACAGTCTGCCCCGAGGTTGGTAGTCGTACTCTTGAGCCACTGCAGGACAACTCGACACATGGTATGCTACATGATGGTAAGTTACAGAAAATTTTCCACTGGTGTTCCACTCCTGCTCTCTGGCCCATACTATTATGAGCGTGGTAGGAATTTCAATCGCTGAGCTCCAGTCAGGGTGCCCACCTGTGTCCCCCAGTGTAGCTCATTAAGCTGCGAGTGGCTGATTTGCTAGTATTCATATTTGCTCATAGGCACTAGCAAAATAGTTCCGATGGGAGGGGAAAACTAATGGTAATCTATTGGCTCAAATAACCTGGTAATCAAATATTTGTTTGTTGTGCTTATAATGCTCTAGGTGCTCCCCAGACATTCAAGAAGGCATGGTCCCTGGTCCTAGGTAATCATTGTTTAAGGTCAAATGGACTAGCGTACAAAGTTTATTGCCAAGCATTCAAAATCATGAGTCAGGACCCAAGCCCATAAGATTTCAGCCTGGAAGTCTATGAATCTATTAAATTATTTTAAAAATTATGAGATTTTTTTTTAAATAGTAAATATTTTTATTTGCTTTCTGGTTTCTGAGCCTTCAGGGTTAACTCAGTGCGTGCTTTAAGGATTTTCTCATCAACTATAAGGGCTAGAAACTTCTTCTTTAAATGAAAGCTGAAATTATCCCCTAAACACTTATCGCCAAGAGCTTGGGCTTTGAGAAAAACACCAAATATTGTAAGACTTTTGATAAAATCGTGAGAGTTGGCAACACTGGGAACAACAAATATGAATATTTTATACAAGTCAACCAAATTCACAGCAGGCAGCATAGCAGAAGTGGGTCTTTAAGTGGGACTTAAATGTGATCAGAGTAGAGACTGTGGATGATCTCAGGGAAGTCATAGTGCATACCTATATTGTTTATTTTTCACTGATGTGACCATAGCCTACCAATTTCAGGTGTGTCCAAACATTACACAAATTATTTCATATTCTGCTAGTGACATACTTAGAGGGGGAAATAGCAAAGTGAGCAGAGAATATTACTGAGAAATGGAGGATTCTAGAATCAGAGGTTTGGGAGTTCTGTCACTCTGACCTTTGAAAGTATAATCCAATCCAATTTATTTTTTTCATTCAAAAGTATCACAAAGAACTTCCCAGTATATAAAATTAAAGGCAAATATAAGTAACCTATAAAGGTTTAGATATCATTGAGGTAGCATCTATATAGGGCAGCAGAGTCAACAGACACAATCAGGGGTACTGGAACAATTTTTATAGTGGGGGTGCTTATGATGGAAACCATGTATTTGGTGTTTGTTATCACTACTTCAAGGCAGAGGGTGTGGCAGCACCCTGAGCACTCTTAGTTCCAGCACCACTAGGCATAATGGTCAAGTTTCAAGGAGGATGATTTCTCATGGGGAAAACTGAGAGTTTCAATACTTCTCATTTGTCACGCTTAATAGTTGTTTCTTTCATTTCTCCCTCACATATAGAATTCACACTGAAGTAGACTGAAAACTTTGTTTTTTCACAAAGTGTCTAAGAGTTATAAAACCTGTATTCAGCTTCATGAATCTCTTGGGTCATAAACACCTATATCCCTCATTCTTTTCTTTTTTCCTTTTTGTAGTTTGCCGTAAATTGGAAATCTTACCTCCAAGTCACTCGCTATAAGTTTCTCCTGTTTTGTAATTAACACCTAGAACCTGCACTTTTTTGAGGCAAGCAGACAAAAGCCTTGTTTTCTGCAGTCCATTAACAGTCTCTCAGTTTATTATACTCTCCCTCCTATTTGTTTTTAATTGAGACCTATGTTATAATGGGACCATTGTTGTTAAATGTAGAATATTGCTACATTAGCACAGATCAGTTTGCCTGGTTTTCATGTACATTAGTAAATTATGAAAGATCAAATATCTCAGGAAGCTGACACATATTGAATTAATCCTGAAATAACCTTGTATTTACTGTTTCAAGTTCACGGTAGTATGTCAAACCACCACACTTAAAAGGCAGTCCCAAAAGCAAACTACAATGGTGCTTGAGGGTAAAATGATAGATGAGATGTGAGGTAGATGATAGAGGTAAACTCGTGGTTGACTCATCTATTTTTGAATAAAGTGCTAATTGCACTAAGGACTAGGAATTTGAAAAATCCGAATATTGTAAATGCATAACCCTGAATGAGGTGTAATTATATTTACATAGATAAGGAGACACTAAATGAAAAAGAAACAACAGATACAAAAAGTTATTCATTTCATCTTTCATAATTATCTGGAAAATATATAAATTAATAGCGTTCATCTGAGAAATGCGGTAGCTGTGACAGATGTTATATTTTGAATTAAAAATGTAACATTCTTGTAATAGTTCCTTGTGCGTTCTACTTTGTTTCATTTTACAAAATAATTTAAGTTCACTTCTGATGTGAGTCCCAGAAAACAAAAGATGACACTCTTTCCCTTTCCATCTACCATAAACTAATCCTTTTACTCTAATGTTCAAGTCATGATAAAACTAAGACCAACATTTTACAAGTCTATTTGTAACTTAACCATTTGTAAAAGTGTAAAACAAAAACAGAGCATAAGAAAAATTTAGATATTCAATGATGTGGTGTTTGGGAGACATATTCTGGAGATCTCATGCAGCCACTAGTCTTCTTCTTAGCATATGCACAATGTGCCTCAGGTGGCACATGACCAGGATGCATCACCGAATTTGGTCCACTGGTTGGATCATTAGCTTTCTTGGCTTGGGCCGGGTACTGATGGGGAATGTGACTTGAACACTGATCCATCTCCCCCCAGCCAGTAGTAAAACATCATTAGAGATTCTATACATTATAGATGATAATTATCTAACATGAAAAGTATTGCAGCTTACACAAGGTAAACTCTATTTTGGGTACATCATTTTGATGGATAAAGATGAATTAATCATTGGACTGGCAGTTGGTGGCCCTTATGCCAGCCGCAGGGTTGGTCTCTTCCGGTGGGCTGGGGAGATGTTTGACTGGATGCACCCTTGTAATCATGGGTTCTACGGTCCTACATTTCCTTTGGTCTGGTCCCACCCTCATAATCTCCCTTCTGTGGTAGGGCTTCATAGAGGCAGCTGCACGTCCTGTGTGGGCTCCCCATAGATTGCCAGTCCTGAGCAGTGTTACCACACAGGTCTGTTGCAAATGGAGCCTTCCATACTTGCGAGGGTGCAGGCAACAGGTAATTAGTCAGCAGCATGAGCTAATAACTTTCTGTAATTTGTAAAAAATATAATTGATTATGACATTTCATCTTAAAAACAGAGTAGTCACTGAACATCTACAATCAGGTTTTCAAATGAAAATTTCACAACTATTTAGCATATGTTGATTTAACCATAGACACATTTTGTCCTCACTGACCTGCTACATCTCCTTTCGAGTCATTAACATCTACTATCTATCACCTTAAAAGTCTCTAAGTCTTGGTGTGGCAGATCTAAAAAACAACTCCAAAGAGACTCATTTTAAAATTGTTCTGTTAGAGGTCACAGTGGAACAGGCCATAGTCTAACCCCAAATCCAATGGAGTGCATGCCATGCGCCTGGGGGAAGAGAGGGACTTCTGCCATGGAGGCTACCTTTTGTAATGGGGAGAAGAGAACCACACACACAGGATCCCCTCCATGCTCAGATCTAGGGTGTACTATCTCACCCTATTTATTTACTGGATCCAGTTAGTACATATTTCAAATGCTTTTTAGCTATGTATTTCCCTGATGGCCTATGGTATTTCTAAAAGCAGTAACATAGTTACCCAATAATCCACAATGTCATACTGTAAATTATGGAGTTTTCAAATGCATGCTGTTGATACTTTTCTTTAATATACTACCTAAGGGTCTGATCAAACTCCCACTGAAGTCAATGTAATTTAGATCAGGCTCTAAAAGAAATTAACTATCAAAAAACTAAATGATAGTCTTTGCTTCTGTGGACACTATTTTTAAGGTTGCAAAATGGTTTCAATAATAGCCCCATGTTTTCACTTCCTCATAATTTACTGAAGAATTCTCCTTTTGAGATGAAATTTTTCGTGCATAGTTTCGTGCACAGAGACAAAGATTTATTTTTATTTTTAACATGTTTGAAAAAATCGCTTCAAGCTGTTTTTGAATTCTGAGTGTCTGAAAAAATACAACATTCACCCTGAAAATTGCTTACTTTCCCCCCTACACTTTTGTTCCCTCCTCACCCCCTCCCCCACCCTGGCATAGTTAACTCAAAACCAACTACACTTTGAAACTTGAAATGTGGCATGTAAATAGTCCTTACTGAGTAAAACTTCCATGACCAAGTCTGAAAAATAATATGCTTGATGTTAGTTTTTGCAAGTGCATCTTCATCATACCAGGACCTTGATACTAGTTCTTTATGTTAGGCTTGATATGCTGGCAAGAAGACACCACTGTCATAATAAGCTGTTGCCCTTGATTTTCATGGGTCTACTCACATGGTTAAAGTTAAGCATATGTGGAAGTGTTTGGAGGATCAGAGCCTTAGGAAACAGGCTGTGTGCTCATTTGCAAGTGCATAGGATTAGCAGTGAATCATCAGTCTCCAGAAGCTCATGTAGCGCTCCTCCATTGCTGTTATGGCAGGATATGAGGAGGTTTAGGGGCTGCAAAGCGTTACTATGCCCAAACAAAATGTGGGTACCTCACACTGCTCTGCATTCCTTTCTCATCCCAACCCCTCTCACCATGGAACTACAGCAATTCTTCTGGGTTATGACACTTCCATAGCAAAAGAAGTTGAGAAGTAGCCCTGAGGGCTCAGTCTTTGACTTCAGTAGGTTTGCCTGAGCAGGACAGCAGGATTGAGTGCTAAATATTGTTAATTCTAATTCCATCTTGAGTTCCTGATTTAGCACCATATTAATTTGAGAGGAGACATCTGAATAAAATGGCTCAACGTTTTTTGGAAAAATTGGCAAGAAATTAACAAAGTTATGAACTTTTACATATTGTACACTACTAGCCAAGTACAGCTGAAAACTTTCACTGAATCTGAGAGTTCTCTCTTTTGGA